CTAGGCCCCCATCCCCAAGCACCCCCACCCCCCCAAGCGGTGAGTCCCGCCCTGTGTGCAGCGGACCCCTGGTGGGGAGGCCCTGGGCCTGGAGCTGCCCCCTACCGGGGCCAGGGCAGGTGGGGCCGGCTGGGCTCCCCACCCCCGCGGGGAGGGGTAGGTGGCGCTGGCCGTTTCTCTCCGACCCCGGGGCCGGGGCAGGTGGGGCCGGTCGGGTCCCGAGCGCCGGGGCGGGGCGGGGCGCCGGAGGGGGCGGGCCCGCGCCAACCTGTTGTGCGTCCCGCTCGGCTTTGCCGGCGGCCACACGCGCTCCAGCGGGCGGTGCAGGGAGCGCCCAGGCCTCGGGTCGCCGGCCCAATGCGCCCGCTCGGCCTCGTCTACACCCTGGTGTGCGCCAACCTGTGCGGCTGTCGGGACGCCCCCGCGGCCCCGCAGAGCGCGTCCCTGCGGGCCCTGCGCGCCGCCGGCCTCCGGAGAGATGGTAAGGGGCTCGCGCGTTTGCCGGGTCGTGCGCCGGGTCACCGACGTGTCGCCGTCGTCCGCTTCTGTAGGGACAGGGAAACTTTCCTGGGACGCGCGGTAAGGCTCCGCGGCGGCGGGTGCTGTCCCTGTTCCGGGGGAGGGGGGTGGGTGGTGGCGGAGGGGGGGGGTCAGGTGGCTCAGGGCCCCCGAGGGGGCAGGTCCCCACGTCCCGGCGCCGCCCCGGGTCAGGCTCTGTGCACTTGAGACTCGGGTAGATGGGGGCTCGGGAGGGGCTTTGTCCGGGCGACTTATGTGTCTTGTAGCCACGGGAGGACAGGGAATGATGTCCTTGTGTCCCGCAGTCAGCCTGGACCAGGGTGACAGCTGTACTGATTATGTGGGGGAGGTGCCCGTGTGCGGCATGTGTGCTGTTTGTCCCCACAGTGACCCTCCTCTGGGGGCGCAGCGCTGGCTCCAAATCTCAGGGTCCGGGGGACACTGGGCTTTCACCGCAACGCAGGGTGACTTTCCAGGCGCAGAAGGTCTCCCTGTGTTGGCACAAGCACCAGGGTTTGTACAGCAAGCCCCGTGGGCCCCAGGCTGGCCTGTTTGTGTCCCTTATCTGGGGGACACCTAGGTCAGCTTCTCGTGGGCTACCCCCCAGGTCTGAACTTGATGTATCCCTTTATTCTCACCAGCAACTCGTGTTCCCAGGAATCTGAAGCTGTTTCTCCCACCTTACCCGAACTGACCCCTAGGTTTTTGGGTTTTTTTCCTTCAGTAATAGTATCTTTCTGTCTGTCTGTCCGCGTGAAGTTCTGACACATCCCCAAGGAACTCCCCGGGCTGGCTTCACTGTTTGACTTGGCAGTGTGTGTTCTCGGTGAATTTATATTGGCCATCTTGTTCCCTTATCAGTTTCTCTCTTGGTGTGCCCTGAATTTGGACTTTGCTGAAAGGCTTTTGAACTTTGAAAAGACTTTACTGTATTTTCTGGTGACAGATACACTATGGATTTCAGTGTGTGCAAGTCACAGGAAGTGACGTAGGCGTGTGCAGGGGGCCCAGGGAAGCCTCAGGAGTCACCTCCTGGCCAGAAGATGCCCCCTACTCCCAGCGTTACTTTACCGCGATGTTTTTATGTACAACACCCCACCAGTGCCTATTTGAATACCCTCCATCTTAGTGAAAGCACAGAATTTTCTTACTAACAAAAAAAAAAAAAAAGGTGTGGGCTCAAGACCAAACTTTTATAATTTTGCTTCACTCGTTTATGTTTCCACCGGGGACGATCTTTTCTCCTAGTTTGAGATTTTACATTTGTTAACGTTTGCACTTTATATGCCCTCTAGGCTGTGTCGAATAAAATGCCATGTATAATTTGCATGACTTCATAGCCATAATTTTGCAATCCTTAGCCTCCCAAGTATCACTTACAAGACGTCAAGGACAGAAAATGAAAAGTGTGTAACCATTGCCCATTAACCCAAGATTCCAACTAAAACCCAGTCCTGCAGCTTGTAATATTTTTTTTTAAAGCATGCTTGACTTTTAGTTTTCGTTGTTAAAACACTGTTCATCTATCTAGTCTATATGATACATGCTTTGTTTCATCAAAATTTCAAAAGCTAGCCTGGATCGATTTATTCATATTTTAGTTCAAGCTGTTTTGCAATTTACTAACAGTATATATATACACACACACACACACACACTTTGATTAATTTGGGTTGCTCAGCACTTTTCCTCAATGTCGGTCTCATTTTACAAACAATATAGGAGGGGGGGGTGGAGAAGGTTAGATTAAAAAAATTGTTATATACAGAGTAAAGCAAAGTTCATACTCATAATGGGTTTTTAATTTGGGGAATTTTTAAAAGGCAGCATATTTTCAGTGTCACAGGGCATGTTTTTTCAAAGAGACCCCAAATTGCCCCCAAAACAGCAAAATCAGATCTTGGAGGGTGAAAAAAATCTTGACTAGTATGATGGTTTGTGGTCCTCTGAAGGGCCCATATGTGTATAGAGGTAGACAGTATATCTGCAGTGTGAGCATGTCATAGGAAGGGACGTGATTAGTAAAAAAAAAAAAAAAAAAAAAAAAAAAAAAAAGTCTAAACAAGCTTCTGAAGGGCAAATGATGATAATGGAAAAAAAAAAAAAAAGGCCAAAACTCAGTTGAGAAACGGTGCCACAGAGTTCTGGTGAGGGTGTGAGAATAAGGGGTCTTTGAAAAAGTCTAGACGTTGTCTGGAAAGTTTTCATCACAACAGTTAAGGTGATGAGGGAAAATAATCACTTATTAAATTAAAACCTCTGATTCCAGACGTTTTTAACTTATTCCCCCAGAGTTCCTTGGTGAAGGGAGACGATAGATAGTCTTGCCCTTTGCACTGTCAGATTAAGACAGGGTGTAAGCTTGGGGAGGACAGGGGGAAACACAGAAGGTCAAAGTTTTCAAACGTTAATTTGGCGTCCTTGGAGGAGCTGGCTCTCGGATTACAAGTGGTAGGAAATCACAGCCAAAAATTAGCCGTGACTCCTGGCCAGGGGTTTTAGAAACCTGTATCTGGTGATGGAAGCATCTTCATTCACCCCTGAGTGCCATCAGTTTCTTCCCACTGACCCGATTAGCTGCTCCCTAATGCTGCAGCCAAGATCAGAGCAAACAGAGAGGGCATCCTGTCATGGGCACAAACGCGGGGGTGGGGGTGGGGGTTCTGTCCAGCCTGATGCGCCCACAGACCTTGTTTTCATTCTGTTTGTAGCTGATAGCTCCAGATAGCCGGCATTGCTAGAAACGACAGGGAAGTGTTAGAATGGATACGGGATGATCTCCTTGTACCCAGTGTGGGAGGCTGGTCTGCCGCGGTCTCCCGGCCTTCCAGAACTCTCCGTCACAACGTGTTCTTGTTCTAAAAGGGTTATCGGCAGACCCGTTCGCTGTAGCTGCAGAATGGGTGAAGGTGACCCAGTGGTGGTGGGATTTGGTCCCTGCCTCTGAGGGCAAGTAGACCGTCTGGCTAGGAAGGATTCCAGTATAACAGTTTGCAAAACTCAATTGCATATTTCTTCTTCTCCTGGTATCATATTTGTTCTTCTTTCGCTGCTTTGGCTTTGACGCCCATTCCTACCTCTTCTTATTTCCGTGCCTGCACAGTTGGTGTTTTGGTGATAACTGGTCACAACCAGCGTTGCTTGCTCAGTGTGGATCAGAAGCGTAAAGGTAGCAGTTAACCGACGGTGTTACTTCCTTATTTTTATTTGTATTTATTTTATTTTATTGGTTTTTTGATCTTTATTTTTGAGAGGGGGGAGGGGCAGCGATGGAGGGAGACAGAACCAGAAACACGATTCCAGGCTCCGAGCGGTCAGCACAGAGCCCGACGCGGGGCTGGAACCCACGAACCATCAGATGGTGACCTGAGCCGAAGTCGGACGCTCCACCGCCTGAGCCACCCAGGCGCCCCTACTCATTTGTTTTTAAATTTAGATAGAGCTTCCTAGTTGGTGTGGGAAGCCGCCAAGGGTGCAGATACACTCTTCGTTGTCTTGATCCATTTTGTTGTTTTCTGTGTTTTTTTTTTTTTTTCAGGTGCTGGTGGGAAATGATTCTGAATTTAGTTTTGTTTGTTTGTTTGCCACGCCAGTGCCTGAAGTGTCTGTCCCTTTATCACTGTCTAGCGATAGGCCTGCAGTTTTACTAATTGTGGCCTTGGATCTCTAAGGAGTCAAGCTTGCGTTTTGGATAATACGGGTCTCTGTTGTCACCAGCGATGACCGCATGTCGACTTCCGTGTGAACATCAGATCTTTTGGGGAAGGCGACAAGGCAGAGGACAATTAATGATTGGGGTTGGTTTGTATTTTGAAGTAAAACTGACATACAATATCCTATATATATATATACACACACACAGACACAGACACACACGCTCCTATCTATAGGATGTCTATTCTATACACTGCAGTATTAATTTACAATAAATTTATTTTTTTTTATTTTTTTTTATTTTTGGGACAGAGAGCATGAACGGGGGAGGGGCAGAGAGAGAGGGAGACACAGAATCGGAAACAGGCTCCAGGCTCCGAGCCATCAGCCCAGAGCCCGACGCGGGGCTCGAACTCACGGACCGCGAGATCGTGACCCGGCTGAAGTCGGACGCTTAACCGACTGCGCCACCCAGGCGCCCCCAGTAAATTTTTTTTAAGTGACTGAAAGTGAAGAATCGCACTAGGGTCAGCTCTTATGTTCTTCTGTGTTCATATTTTCTTTTCGACTCTGAGGATATTAAAGTTTCATGATCTCATAGAGCCTAGTGATGATCACATATTTTAAGTGTAATATAACTTTGACTTGCCTGTTTAATACGGATTCTTCTAAATGGGTGGGTTGAAACTGGTGGACACACACTGTAGTAGGAAATGCAACTAGATTGTGAGTTACAATAATGACATTGAGGTTTTCCCATGACATGGGATTTTCCCTTTCAGGGAATGAGAGGAAAGCTTTATTGTTTCAGAACAGTAGGGCCAGACAATGGAGCAAGGTCCCCAGAGTCGTTGGTCTCTGATGGCCGGTGATAAGCGTGCTGTCCCGCACTTACCCACGCAGTACATGGGTACTTCGCCAACATCTTTGTGAAATTCTTCTTTATATCAGAATAAGAACGTCTTTTAAGTGCGCCAGCTGTAGGCTTCTGGTCCATCCGAGCCATGCCAGTCAGGACAAGCTCCCTGGCTTTCTTTAAGGTTGTCTCTGTTGAGTTCATTCCTGACTCGACCGGGACCGTCCTCTAAACACGAAAGGTCGAAAACCAGCGTGCAAATAGTTCTTTATCCTGAGCACTGCTGCTGACCCCTACTGTAACTTCTTCCCGTATTTTGCAATTATTTATTGGGTCCCTAATCTTTGCCAGTTGTTGTGCCGGATGAAGGGTTATCTAGCATGTTTTGAATAAAACATGCAGGGTTCCTGCCTTCTTACAGCCTCCAGTCTCTGGGCAGTAGAAACAAGTCCATGCTTAGTTCCAGTGTATTGCACGTGCCTTTCAGGTGCGTTCTGGAGAGCCCCAGGATTTTCTAGAAGCACCTTAGAGGTCATCGCCTGTGTGCCAGGGGGCTGAGCATGTATCACTTCAGGCTGTCCACCCCTTCCTCAACAGAACAGGTCTACGTGTGTTTCAGCATTTCTGTGTCACATATTTGAATCCATCGTAAGATTGTTCTTCGTTGTTTTTGTTTTTGTTTTTTTTTTGAAAAGACTTTGGGTTGCAGTCGGAGAAGTGTGAAGGCACAGTGTAGAGTGATCGTTGCTTTTGTGGAGGAGATACACAGGGGTGTGGGAATTCACAAGGAGCGCCTAAGCTACATTTGAGACACAGGAGAGGGCTTCCTGGAGGAAGTGACGGCTGAACTGGGGGATGAAGGATGACTAGGAGTTAGAAGTTGGAGGCGGTGAGGAAGGAGGCTGGAGGTTGCGAGTGAAGAGAAACAGTGCCTGCCACGATTTGGACAGGAGAACATAGCCTTCAAGGGTCCACTAACTAGAGGTCTGGGAAGTAGGGCTAGGGAGTCTGGCCATTATTTGTAGCATAGTGAGAAGCCACTGAAAGAATTACTTTGGAGGAAGACAGTCCTGTGTTGCGTTTGAATACTGACCGCCAGTGTTCCTAAGAAGTCAGCCAGGCCAGTGAGGTGGCCAGGAACAGTCTCCCTGTGCCTCCACTGCCCATGGGACATGAACACGGGATCGCTTAATTTCTCATCATGACAGTGGCCGACATGGCTGACTTTTCCTGCCCGAAATCTCCTGATGTTAGGTGCAGCTGCCTTGGGACATCGCCCCGGACGCCTGTGTGCAGCTCAGCACACCAGATGCTAGATTGTGTCACTGTATCTGAGGTCGCTTTATGGTAATGTAAATAGTGAAGGCAGCCTGCCTCGTGTGTGTGACGTTTTACGTCCTTTCAGACTTCTATATTTCAGAATTCATGCGATTTAAGAGGGAACATCTTTATACAAACTTTTCTGTGCAGGACAGTTTTGGCAAAAAGATCCAGGGGAATGACACTAGCAGCAAAGAAAGAATCCCAAACAAACGCTGCGGCAAAAATGTTCTCCCTCCCTGTACCGTATTTCAGGACCAGATGTAAGTCATAAATAAAGGAATAAGCCCACGGGACACTAAAGTGCACATGTGCACATACAGGAAGAAATATTTTCTTCCAAGGATTTTTTTCTTTTTTTCAGAATGAGAATGAAGCATGCCTTGTTTCTTACGGGCGTTGATGATGCGTGTAATAATAGATCTTTGCTCTGCGCCATGGTATGCTGACATCAATGTATTAGCTTTAATATTGATAGATGAATGCTGTGCTTTTTTGTGATCTGTGCTGAGTGCAGGTTAGTGGTTTTTGTCTAATCGGGAGGCAGGGATGTCTGTGGAAGCATCGTAGCATGGGCGTAGGGTTTAACTCTCATTACGAGGAGTGATGTTTTCTGATTTTTGGATTTTTTACTCCAGCACTTTTTTTTGTAGAGTGTTTCTGAAGGCAGATTGTTTTAGGGACAGCATTTTACCTATAAAAACGAGCCAGACGAGATTTGGAATCTGGTGTCCTTGGACTCCTGATTTCTGAAATTTGGAAGCCAGCGTGCGGCCTGGGGGCTGAAGCAGCTCCGTGAGTCCTGCTGGCCGTGTGCTGTGAGCAGAGGTTGTATGATCTGCTGTGTTAGTTTCGAGCAAGTCGTTTCAGCCCCAACGTGACAAGTTCCGCATTTCACTGAAACGTTCAGTAAGCAGTTGCAGCCCCGGCCGACTTTTGCAGACTTTAGCTATGCAGCCACTTCTACTATGTCAAATGCAATGAAATGAACTAATACGTGTGCAGCAGACCCACTTAAAAAAAGCCAAAATCAGTGTCGCAGAGTGTAGACGTGAGTTCGTAAGATTCACGCGGTAGACCCCGAGAGAACATTCGCCTCTACTTTCTGTGTAATTCGATCGCCCTCGTTCGTGTGGTTTGCGCATCCACAGTGAGGCAGGAGCATGACGTTAGACTAGGGAACAGGTTAGACTGGGGGACAGCACTGTTACAAGTTAGCTCGCTGTTGGCATGGAGAAGTGACAGCTGCCAGTTCCTCTGACTCCTCAGACTTGCACGCCTTGGAAAGCATTCGTAAGACCTAAGCAAGCAAAGCTGGCTGGGGCTTCTCATTAAATAAGGCACAAAAAGTTCCTGCCTGCAAGGGACTGAATGAATGAATGTGTCCCCCCAAAATCCATACATTAAAAAAACCTAACCCCCATTGTGAGGATACTGGCAGGTGAAGCCTTTGGGAGGTCATGAATACCGTTAGCACCCTTACCAAAGGGACACCAGGGACATCCCTCATCCTTTCTGTTGTGTGAGGATACTGCAGCAAGATACCGAATCTGCTGAGCCCTTGATCTCGGATTTCCCAGCCTCTAGAACCGTGAGGAATAAACTTCTATTGTTTAAAAGCCACTCGGTCTCTGGTGTTAGAGCAGCCTGAATAGGCTGAGACATACCTCTCTCCGGGTGCCACCAGGGAATGACTAGATCACAGCCCAGTAACATTGCTGATTTTTAAAATTATGTCCGTGACTCATAAAAGAAAGTTTCGATGAGATGTTTGATGGGTTTACCAGTATCCTAAACTGAAAGTCGTACTAGCTTAAGGATGTATGGATTTCGACCAGAAAACTGGCATTTCTGTGACAGCCTTGTGGGAAAGAATGATTGTAGCCTGGATCATAAAAAACTTCTTGTCATGCTTTTGGTGGTAACTAATAGATTTGTGTTAGGCAAGAGGGAGGTGAGGAGGGATTTTATTGGCACTTTGGATTAGACCATATTGGAGTCAGAATTCTCAGTAACTTGGATGAAGACATAGAAAACACATCTTCCAAACTTGGGTCTTTTGTCTGGAAAGAACAGTTAGTAGGTTGGAGTAGATGCATAGAATGGCAGGCTTTTTCTATAAAGGGGCCAGACGGTAAATATTGTAGGCTTTCAGGCTATAAGGTCTTTGTTGCAACAACACAGCTCTGCCATTGTGTGAAAACAGCCATTGAAATTACATAAATGAATGGGTGTGGCTGTGTTCATTCCAATTACATGTTATTTTCAGAAACAGGCGGTGGGCCTGAGGGTGTAGTTTGCTGACTGCTGAAATAGAAAATCCACATGCTCTTAGGTGGAAATAATGGGCCGATCCTATGACCTTCAACAGGAATAAGTGCAAAGTATAGTTCTTCGGCTAGAAAACAAAAATAACTACATAATTACAGAATGGAATAACTTGGATTAATATCAGCTCATGTCATGATGGATGGATGGATGGATGGATGGATGGATAGATGGATAGATGGATAGATAGATGGTTAGATGGACAGATGGGTGGATGGATGAATGGATGGTTAGATAGATGGATGGATAGATGGATGGATGGATGGGTGGATGGATGCATGGATGGATGGTTGGTTGGATGGGTGGACAGATGAGTGGACAGATGGTTGGACGGGTGAATGGACGGTTAGATAGACGGATAGATAGTTGGAAGGATGGATGGATGGATGAATGGATGGGTGGATGGATGGGTGGACGGATGGGTGGATAGATGTATATGTCTACCTCTGTCTCTGTCACCCAACTGGTTTAAGTGAACACAGCTTATGGCTTAACAAACAGTGTGATTGCTGAACAATGATAACTGTCTATACCTGGCATCATCATTAATACTGTGTCAGAATAAAGTCAGACTCTGTTCTGGTCTGTCATGTATGAGGGTGTATGCTAGGGGTCTCTCTCCTGTGGATGAATCCACCTCTTTGTCACTCCTTCGGTCCTATGACCTAAACCCACAGTTTACTACTCTCCTGTCTTTAATGTTTCCCTCCTCACTGGTTCTGTCTCCTCAGCCAACATGGACGGTCAAGTTTCTTTGCAGCACCCACAACACATGCAAGCTGTTTTACTGTTGTTCTATTTTGTCGCCATGTAAGCATCTTCGGTGTCACCACAACTCATTGTCTCCACTTCCTGTACTCTGCCTCACCCACTGCAACATGAATTCACCCCGTGGCTCCACTGAACTGCTCTGGGTGATGTCACGGTGATTTGTAGCGTCCTTTCAGGTGGGCTGGTCTTGTCTTGAAACTTGGTCTTCCCTTGGCTTGCCGCTGCCTCTCCTTTGCCTCAAGTGCTCCTTGAGGCAAGTGCAAGGTTGGGATAGTGATAAAGCGGGAACTAAGATGGTGCTTGGTTTATTTAGGTTTCTTGAAGGAGCAAGATTAGAGAAGGCCTTAAAAAGTATATTTTGTGTGTTATTGTCCCCGTAACCATTTATGAATAATGAAAGAAGCAGCAAAGATCTTAGAATGTAGTGGGGATTTTGTGAATACAGAAAAGAGCCTTCAAAGATAATACATATATGCATATATATGCGCATATATATACGTATATATATACACGTATATATACACGTGTATATATACGTGTATATATAAAACAACCTAGTAAATGCTACAATTGCAATGTTTTGGGGGGAGATATGTGTAAATACATTATATATATAAGCTTAAAATGTTCTAAATAGGATATTTATAACTATAGAAATAGGATTTTGAACACCTGGATTTTGTTTTATGAGATCATGGAGTACTCTTTTATTTACTTTTTTTTCCTCCTTGGCTGGATCTTCATCTAACTCTCTGCCCTGTGACTCCTTGTATGTTTTCTTAAGGCTCTGACCTCAGCCTTATCTTCTCTCTTTGCTCGCTGATAGTTTCTGGAAGATCTTAGTTTTGTCCGAAGTGTCGATTGCCACTTATGTGTCAAAAGACCTGTGAATATACCTGTGCTGCCTCTGCTCTTGACTGAGCTCTGAACGTGAGGGCAGTCCCACGGGTAAAGGACACTCTCCAAGTTAGAAGCCTACTAGTGAAGCAGTTCGTTTTTGTAACTCTGAGCTTATGCATCCAGTGGTGAGTGCCTTCACAGTATTAATCCTTTTCTCGTTGCTGTTCGTGCGGACACAGCATGAGTATGTTTGCATGGACTGTCGAGGGAGCGTACTGACGGGAACTGTAGCTCTCTGTAGACTTTCTCAACTCCACCCCCCCCCCCCCCCCCCAGGGAGAATTGGCTACTCGTTTATTTATCCCACATTTCCATCACGAAGCCTATAATGGTATCTATTTACCTGCCTGACTTCTTCTGATGTGAGCGCCCTTGCTGTCGTTACTAAAGCCAAGCGTCCTCCCTGTCCGCGTCGCTGTCTGGCACGTAGGAGGGGCTCAGCAAGGTTCGAGGAGTCACTGCATCACCCACAGCCAGTGTCTTCGTTTTGTGCCTGGTCGTGGAACTGCATGAGCCCTCACACCAGTTGTGTGGGCAACCGTATGGCAGAAAGGGTATTTAAACTCTGAAGGTCTCTGGGGCGCCTGGGTGGCGCAGTTGGTTGAGCGTCCGACTTCAGCCAGGTCACGATCTCGCGGTCCGGGAGTTCGAGCCCCGCATCGGGCTCTGGGCTGATGGCTCAGAGCCTGGAGCCTGTTTCCGATTCTGTGTCTCCCTCTCTCTCTGCCCCTCCCCCGTTCATGCTCTGTCTCTCTCTGTCCCAAAAATAAATAAACGTTGAAAAAAAAAATAAAAAAAAATGTTTTAAACTCTGAAGGTCTCCGTTCATTGTCTGGCGGCTGTTGGTATCAGGGAACAGGATAGGCAATAGAAGACGAGGAGTAGGTGGGGAAGGTTGTGGAGATGGAAAGTTATTTAGCTCTGGGAGCCTGTGCGGTATCCACGTGGATGAAATCGAAAGGCAGGGAGGCGGGAGGGAGACCCTTCTTTACAGGAAATACAGGCACAGTGAGCATGAAGTAATCAACTTTTAAAGGAAGTGATTTTTTGATTGTGGGTGCATGATAATAATACCTGGTATTTCTGGAGTACTTGGAACGTGGCAAAGTGCTCTCTCCTAGCGCGTCTCAACAGTGGTCGGTGTGGAGTTGTTTCCAGACGACTTTGTGGGTCATGCCAAGATGACACATACTTTAGACTGCCTCCTTGGGCATGAGCGTGACATTTGAGGGTTAAATTTGGACGAACATTGAGGAAGGGTGTGAAGAATTTCCTCTCCCCCTCCCCCCGCCCCCAAAAAACCTCCACATCTGTACTGATTAGAATAAATCCTTTCAGGGATACCTTTCCTTTCCAGTGTTAATATTTGAGAGCTCTTACACAAAATTAATAAAAGCTCAAAAGAAAGAGGTAAAAATAAATGAAGGATCATGAAACAAGTCTTTAAAAAGTTTTTTTTTATGTTTATGTATTTTTGAGAGACAGAGACAGAGCGTGAACAGAGAGGGGCAGAGAGAGAGAGAGGAAGACACAGAATCTGAGGCAGGCTCCGGGCTCTGAGCTGTCAGCACAGAGCCCGACGCCGGGGCTCGAACTCACGAGCAGTGAGATCATGACCTGAGCTGAAGTCGGCGACTGAGCCACCCAGGAAAACAAGTCTTAAGGCTCACTCTGGATGATGAGCTAATGGACATCAAGGAAAGATGAATGCTTCCCATTCTGTTTGTATAGGGAGAGCGTGTTGAGCTAATATGCTATTTTACTGGGGATGAAACAAGAGAAGCGCTATCGAATGGAATAAAAAGTATGCGTATTCCCTATAAAAACAAAAAGTTCCCTGATGGAGTACGTACGGATTGAAAGGGTTTTTACAGAGTGGTTAATCAAAAATAAAAGAATGGAGTGAGAGGTATTTGGTTTAAATACAGCATATGGGGGGATCCTGTACATTCCTGGAGAAGAACTGCTGTGGCTGTGTATTGTTTTGTGTCAGTGCTGAGTCCGATGCTTTTCACCCAGCCCGATCCCCGTAAACATAAGCGCTGAGGGTTCACCCAGCAGGTGTGTAGCAGGTGCTGCCCGCAGGCCGCGCCCTGTAGGACCCACTGGGGCAGAAACAGTCCAGCCTGAGGCACAGGGTCTGCTCTCTTGAAGCTGATGCTCGGGCCGCAGAGATCAAACGTGCCTGTGAATCAGCACAGGGCAAGGCAAGTGGCCCTCTGAGTGCCACCACTGAGCGCCCTGCTTTGTGTTTGAAGGTCGTGTTGACCTGATTTTAACGATAAATCATCTATCCCTAGTGCTGAGTGCGGAAGAAAATGACATTGGTTGAGCACGGTATTCTTCAAAGGCTGAAAAACATCACCCTCATTGGTTGGCGCCACTCTGTGAATTAAAAATTCGAGCAGAAGAGGATCTCTTAATTGTAGAGCTGGGAGTCGTACTTGCTTGGTTTTCTCTTTTACGTGTTTAGATGTTAGCCTAAATACTCCTGAACCGTAACAGCAACAATGTGGGCTCGGTTCGCAACGCCCAGTAAGTTTTTAATATTTAATAATTAACATTTTACTGTGTGATGTGCAGTATGATTATTTGACCACTGGATGGCAGTAGAAAAAAGACACCTTTAGGCACCTTTTTTTTTTTTTTTTTTTTTACTCCCTCTCTTGGGAATAGGACTCCAGTGATGGAAATTTCACGCTTCTCAAATACACTGAAAAAAAAAAAAAAGAACAATAATGATAATCTGTCATTAACATACAACTTTTCTAGTCTATGGGATCTCAGTAAATTTTAGAATAATTAAAATAGTTGAATCAATTATATATAACTATTATATTCCTTGGTGCCATTTACACATCCAGTTTGCAAGCCTGTCTAAAATTTATGAAAATAGAATTGAGAAACATTGAAAGTCATTTTTGGAACAACATTTGCATGTGCACAGCCACTTGTTGCCCAGTTTCCTTTGAGCACAAGACCAGTTGGTTGGCCGCTCTAAACTTGCAGAAATCCCCTGGAGACTCCTCATTACTTGCCAAGCGTTCATCCAAAATAAGTTATTTGGGGGGACGAAAGCATTATGTATCAGAAGTGAGAAATCATCCTCTCAGATACTAATGTTTATGAGATCCTACGGAGATGTGGGCTGAGTGGTGAGCACGTGACAGCATGGGAACATGAGACCCATAGGTCACTACCAAGGTGGGGACGGTATTCAGTTATGGTGAGCAGTTATGGGTACGCATGATTGCTATGTAAAAAAGTTGGGTTGTGTCCATCGGCTTTAATAAAGACTACAGAGTGCCGTATGAAAATGGCCAAATTTGGGTGAAGACTTTAGGGCAGATAGGAAAATTATGTGTTGGAGTCTGTCTTCTGCTGACCAGTGGCCCGCAAAGGGTTCGGGTCCTAATTCTGGCATCTCTAAATGATCTTTATGTGGCAAAGAATTTGCAGGTGTGATGGTGCTAAGGTTCTTGGGCTGCGGAGATCGTCTTGGATTTTTGGAGTGGACGTCCCTGTAGGAGAGGGCCAGAGGGAGATCTGACACAGGCAGGAGAGAGGGCGGTGTGACCACGGCAGCAGAGACTGGAGTGACACGGCCACATGCTAAGGGATGTCAGGAGCCACCAGCAGAAGATAGGAGAGGCAAAGAATAGACTCTTCCCTGGAACATCCAGAGGGAGCATGGCCTTGTCAGCACCTTGATTTTGGATCATGGCACCGGCCTCTAGAGCCGTAAGGGAATAAATATCTGTTGTTTTAAGCCGGTCAGTCTGTGGCAATTTGTTACAGCACCTGCAGACGCTAAGGGAGGGCATGAAAGATATTTTGATTTGAAAGATGAATAGTCGAACCGTTTGCTGAGTTCACTTTTCTAATCGTGTATACATTTCACTGGCCAGGATATCTGTATTGACAATGTAATGGTGCACTTAGAACTCTGCCTGGGAGAATTCTCTAGTTAAGACAAGCCTTACTTTTGCCCTAGTTCTGTGTCCGGATATTTTGAAAATTCTGGCTTCAACTCTCCTCTGTTTTTCTGATCAAATTAAGTCCTGACGTGATCAAAAGGGCGATGTTCCTAATTCACTATAGTTTCGCTGATTCTTAAAATTCTCCCTTAACCCGTGTCCTTTGTGCCTTGGTCGGCTCTTGTTTATTCTACAGACTTCTGTTGTACCTTCAGTGTGTGTTAGTTAGTTTCTAGGCCAGAGTGTGGGGCAACAGTGTTGAAATGATGTGGTGATAATTCCTTTGTTAATTAGCTATGTGTCATGCTTGTCATCCACAGAGTACTTATTAGTCGGGAGAGGATGCTGAGGTATATATGTAGTATGTGTTAGTGCCATGGTGATATCATATGATGCGTGGTGGAACATTGAGAAGGGATATCCCGATGAGATAGTTGCAGATATTAGGGTTGTTGGAAATTTGCAACTCAGGACAGAATGAGAGAATTCCAGTTGAATTTCTGAGCCCAATTCCGTTAGCTGACATTGAACTCTACACTCGACCCTCCAGAGCATCAGTGTCCAGCAGAGACAGGATGCCAGCCTACGTCATTTACAGAATTTTAGCAGCCACATAAAAAAGAAATGCATGAAACTAATTTCAGTGGTATATTTTATTTAATCCAGTCAGTGCCCGAATACTATCATTTCGGTGTTCAGTAAGTATTTTAAAATGTTGAGATAGGAGCACTTGGATGGTTCAGTCGGTTGAGCATCTGACTCTTGATTTCAGCTCAGGTCTTCTTCCCAGGGTTGTGGGATCGAGCCCTGCATCAGGCTCTGCGCTGAGCAAAGAGCCTGCTTGAGGTTCTCTCTCTGTCTCTCCCTTCCCCTGCCCATCTCCCCTGCTTGCACTCTCTCTCTCTCAAATTAAAAAAAAAAAAAAAAAGATAAAACAAAACGTTAAGATATCTTGTTCTATTCTTTTTATCATGTGAGTCCTCAAAATAGGATATGCATTTTATACTTACAACACAGCCTGTTTCAGACTTGACATATTTCAGAAACTCAGCACTAATATGTGGCTAGCCATTATCAACTTGAACAGCACTGTTCTGGGACATTAATATCATTTATTTAGACTAACACAAGTTATCATTGGTCTTTTTCCAAAATAAAAAATAACTTATGGAAGCTATTTCTCTGGCTCTTTTTTGCAATGTGTTGAAATTAACTGAGTCACTTTTTAGGGGGATTCATAATCTAACACGGGCAAATTTCCTGGGGTTTCTATTTTGCTTTCGTATTTTATCAGCATGGAACTTTTGATGTTTCTGGTTGCTTTCATGTATTCTCTGAAAAAGAAAAAACTTACGGTCCTCTAATAGATATGCAGTCAGCCAGGCTACTCGGTTTTTATGCCAGGTGCAAAGTTTTTGATATTTGAGAAGCTTCTTATGCAAACAGCAGCTGGTACTTCATTTGTCTGTCATGGATGGAAAAATCTGTGTTTAACCAGCATTGGCATTCTTTTCCGTCTGCGACTTAGTTTGACTTAGGTAATGATAACATTCTCTTTTATCGCTTGACCATTTTCAAAATTGACTCTTTCTGGCTGATGAGTAAACAATTTGTGAAAAACAGAGTCCTGCTGAGTCTTGGGAAGGCTTTAACCTATTAGAGATTTGATACAGCTTTTTACTGAGTAACCCATATCTCCCTGGATTTAGAGGCCTTGAACAGCATATGTTTGCAGTATGCTTTTTTTTAAGGAAAATTAAATGTTAGGAACACTGATGTTTTCCATTTGCAAATCTCAGATCTACCGTTCATTGTATGGTCCAGAGTGGAAGATAATTAATAAAAGTTATTACAGAAATATAAATCATTCTTCCCTTTTGTTCAGTGACATATTTCCACCAGACTTTGGGTTGGGTATTTGTTGGCATGACCTTTTAATTTGTTAATAATCTGGGCAAGCAAAAGCATTTCTGGCAAGTAAAATGCGGCTCGTAAGACTGTCTTGTTTTTCGCTCACTGACTTTCGAACCGTCTCCTCGGATCATGCTCCATAACGATGCCCTGTAGAACTTGCATTGCAGCAAAACCACAAAATTTCTTTCTCCTTCGAGGGCAGGGCTCACCTCAGGCCGCCCGTTTCGAGGTCTCAGCCGTGCAGGGCCTCAGCACGGTGTACTCAGTGCTCGGGACGAACACCTGGGTTAGAAAAAGTTTATTCTAAGGAAGGAACTGCTTCACAAGCTGAGACTTTCCTCAACAAATCTGGATGTGTCAGGACACAGCGTGACTCTACTTTCGTGGAAACACGTTGT